ATAAACAAGACCACCAACAGACTGGAATACGAGATATACAGAAAGCCCACAGCGACCGACACAGTAATACATGAAACCTCTAACCACCCACATCAACACAAAAACGCAGCATTTAGACAATTATTAACTAGACTTGAGCGAACCCCATTAACTAAGGAAGCACACAGGAGATAGCTAGACACAATATATGCTATCGCCAGAAACAAGGACTCGAAACGAAAAAGTAGGGACAAGAAAGAAAACAACGATGAGCTTGGGCAGTGTTAACTTACACGGGTAAATGACATACAAACTGGCCAAGGTTTTCCAAAAATTCAACATTCGCACATCGTTCAGAACCAGGAATAATGTCGGAAGGATACTGAACAACAGCACAAACGAAGAGGACACTCTAGATAAGCAGGGTGTATACAAATTAACGTGTGAATGCAAGTGTAGCTACATAGGGCAAACTGGCCGTAAGATTAAAACAAGATTCCGAGAACATATAAGAGACTACAATAAGAGGACACAAAAACCAAGCGTCACACCAGAATCAAACTTCGCAAATCATATGTTCGAAAATAAATGTACGCCAATGAAACTTAATAAGGCAGCCAAACTCCTCCATGTACAGCATAAAGGACGGCGTTTGAACATATTGGAAAACATGGAGATATACAAGCAGAAACCATTTCAAGGGAGAATTATAAACGAACAAACAAACACCGTATCCGATGTAATATTCGAACCACTCAAGATGTTGTACGAAAAATATGAGAAGACCCCTGAAAAAAACGCCAACGCGAAGATACATACCTACGCCGCAGAGACCAAGAAAATTAAAATAACGGATTTCTATCTGCCGGCACAAGCAAGCAACCTAATACCAAAGCTAATAGCTTAAATTTGTCGTCAAATAAAACACGCCTATTGTAACTTATAAACTTATTATTGCACCATGATACATACTACAGTGAGTTAGGTATTTGCAAATAGCTTACGTATAAACGTAGTAACAGTCATATGTGTTATAGGAGATTCCGGGTAGCCAATTGAGCCATGGCTCATGACACCGCTACCACATGAACAAGAACGCTCAGCAAGGTACAGGTACAATGGGACACTTTGTAAAGCGCGTATCGTTATAGAGCGTCTCTTTGGAGTGTTGAAAAATACATGGCGTGGCATAATTGCAGAATACGGCCCGTTAAGCTAGAACAAAACGAAAAAGTGGGTGTGGTCCGCCGTATTTTTCTAATTTTAGTAAAATAAAAATTTTTTGATGCAAGCTTATATTTTCGGGGCTAAAGAGGGGCGAAAGGGGAATTTTCGAAAATTTAGAAGGCTATATTTCGAAAAATTCTTAACCTAATTTCAAAAAACTGGTATCGTTGGAAAGGTAAATAAAATTCCCTTTTTCTAATAGGCACATTTATATACTTCATTTGCATAAATTTTAAGAAAAATCATCTAATATAAAAATATATTTTTTGATAAAACAAAACCAATTTTACTAAAAAACATGTGTAATTAACGATACCCAAACCATAACAGTTAAATGGAGCACAAAAACAGCATAAATTTACCTTTCATTTAACATATAATTCTATTTAGTTAGATTTAAATACCGTTAGTAATAATCTCATTGATGAAGAGAGAAATAACCATACTGATGCCTATGATAGCGAATATGCTCGATAGTTTTGAAAAACTATCGATAGTAAAAAAAAAAACAAAACCATCAATAGTATCGATAGTTTGCCACCACTGAAATGAGGTATCTATTTCGGACCACTGAAATATTAGATTCGATATAGAAGCCCAAAGGGCCCTGTCTCACGATCAATATGGATCGCGATCCAGTATCGTGATCCATATTGATGCATGATGCTCCACTCTCTGCTATGCTACACCTTCAATATTTATCGCGTCATTATTTTCAAACTTTTGAACTGTGCAAGTCGTTTTTAAATAAGAAAAAT